GGGACCCTTTTGCCGAGGGGTATCCTCTTTCTCCCGAAAACCCTCTCTCCCTCGGAACCCTCTCTCTCTCCCTGGACCCTCCCTCTCATGGAAGACCCTCTCTTCTGCGACCCTCTCTCTTGGCTCACCTTCTCTAGGTCCTGCGGCGTCGCTCTCAGCAGCTGGTCTCCGTTCTTCACCCAGCGCTTGCTGTCGATGACGTACGCGGACAGACCGATCTCGTGCACCCACATCGCCACCTTGTCACCGTCCCAGCGCGCAAACGGTGTGTCCAGCTCCCTGCGAGGGAAACGCGCGCGCGTCAACGTCAGTCCCATGATGTCATCGGGTGCACACAGCAGCGATGACGTCATCGGGTGCACACAACAGCGATGACGTCATAGAGTGCACACAACCGCGATGACGTCATCGGGTGCACACACCAGCGATGACGTCATCGGGTGCACACAACAGCGATGACATCATTGGATGCGTGCAGTGTTGCCAATGACATCGTCGGGTGTGCTTGCCAGTGACACCGTTGCAATTACGTGCACATGCGGGTGACGATGTCATCGCATTGCGTGTACACGCGGCGATCGCGTCACCGCTTCGCAAAGGCGAAAGACGACGACGTCGGCCTGCGGGTGTGCGTGACAATGACGTCGTCACACGGCATGACAACGCGCGACGATGTCACTATGACAACGAATCGGCACGCCAGCAGTCGGCAGACGCCGCGCCGCGACAGGGTACAGCCGCTGTAATTACGTCGAAGCAAGCAACCTCCATGCACACACGAGCAGCGATCAAACCATAGTTACACCAACACTGCAGCAGTGCAGGCCACACCCACCCAAAGCCCCCTTCCCCCGCCCACTCTCGTTATTGTCGTTCCCACGCTTGAACAAGAGAAACAGAGGCAGGGATCGAGCAAAGATCAACGTTGTATACACGAAAGTAGAATCAAGAAGCACGTCAATCAGTACAATCGCAGAAGTCGAAGAAAAATGGAGCGATAAAAATTAAAAACAAGTGATAAAGAATGTACTGAAAGTAATCTAATACCTTTTGTGTACAACAGAAAATGTAGAAGTAACGCAAGTACCCCCAAAACACGCCCCCCCCAACCAACATGAAACCCCTGATTAACGTTAGACACTCAGACTCACACGAGACACCCCCGTCTCGCGCGAGACCGCCTCACTCGCGACTCACCCGGGTTTGAGGTCGCGCGACCATGCAAGTCGCGGGCCGGCCGTCGCTCGGAATCCTCCGCGCTGGAACGTGCCGTTGGTCGCCGCCGCCTCGGGGCTGCCCGGTGGCGCCCCCTGCTGCTGATGTTTGTCCTCGAGGTTCTGAGATGAGCTGCGTCGGAGTCTGCGCAGACACGACGACGGAGGCGCCGCACGGTGAGCAACGCACGCGAGTCAGCGCCCTCTATAATGCGCTTAATGCGCGAGGGAGGGTCGGGGGGAGGTGGTACCGCAGAGAGAGAGGGGAGGTTGGGGGGGGAGGGTGGAGGAGGGGAGGTTGGGGGGGAAGGTGAGAGGGGAGGTTGGGGGGAGGGTGAGAGGGGTAGTTCAGAGAGGAGGAGGAAGCTGGGGGGGGTGAGAGTGGTAGGGCAGAGAGAGAGAGAGAGAGAGAGAGAGAGAGAGAA